TGTATGTATGTATGTATGTATGTATGTATGTATGTATGTATGTATGTGTGGGTTTGGGAGACTGTAGATTAAATTGTAAAGACTGTATGTTAAACACATTACATTTATAAGCAAATGCAGTGTTACTATTTTTATAGAAAAAATAAAATGAAAGTTTCTCATAATCGTAATGTTATTACAACCCCACCTTTTCATTTAGGCAGCTATTTATGGGAAATGTGTCTCAGATACTACAACCGGCAAACAGGAGCTGAAGAAGGACCTGTGTGCTCGTGAGTTTGAAGCTCTGAAGATGTGCTTCAGAAATGCAGTGAGTGGTGCAGTCCAGGGGCCATGTTCTGGTGTTTAAGGGCACAGCTGTGGTTGAGTGTCATCTTCCACTGATGTTTTTAATTTCTTTTCTTTTGTCATAGGCCATGAAAAGAGTCAGATGATTAGCAACCTTGTTGCCACAGATCTCAACGGACCAACCTCAACAGCGTCTGTAGTCACCTGTTGGAGAAGACGACCGTCTCCAATATAACTGACATTCTGCTGGAATAGTTTCTGGTTACATTTGAGATAAATCAAAGTACTGCTTTTAATTTATACAAATATGTGTTATAGAAAAGGAAATAAACTCTTTCATGTTGGTTTATGGCGTTTCAACAGAACAACCATCAGTCCTGTTGAGTTTTTTATTTTTTGTTTATTCTTATCATCAAGATTTACAGAAATACATTGCACATAGAAAAATACTCTCTTTACCAAAGTTCCAAGATACCCAATGACATACTGATGCAGGAATTTTCAAAAGAGCTGTGCAACCAAGAAACACCAAGCTTTCCTTTCACCATCCTCACTTTTCAAAGTTTTAGAAGAGGAAAGGACCACAAAGTACAAAAGTACATGACTTGAAAGGCACTTATAAACAGATGAGGGATTTATTACAGCTGGAATGATTTGTAACTAGTCATCGCTCTACAGATGCTGCCTTTGAGTCCAGTTTATAAAATGATAAGGCTACGCTGTGCACTACTTTGCACAGGAGTTAATAAGGGACATCCGGCCACGTCCTGAACAGATTTACAACATCCACATCGCAGGAAACGCAGAGAGATGCGACAAAGGGGGACACCACAAGCAGCTCATAGGAAAACCTATTTAAAGTGACACAAACACAGTATTTGCCCAGTTAATATGCTCTGCGGACACATTGCATAGATGTATTTACATTTTAACAGTGACCTCTTCGTAATTCGATGCTGTAAAGACAAAAATAATTTAATATTTACATACGCTTTCTTTTCTCTTTACAAAAGACTTTGGGTTATGTCAGAGTGCACAGTATGAGCATACAGGGAAGTGTCTGCTCCAGAACCTTTCGGAAGGCAAGAGAATGTAAGGCAGCTAACTAACTCGTAGTCCACAGTGTAGGGAAATTCTGCATGTGAGACGGGGGGCCTGTCTGGTGGGTGTTACTTTGCCCCCCCCTGGTCGTCTGGGGTCTGTTTGATCTGCCGTGAGTGCACCACGGCCCCGGCCAGCAGCTGCTGCTCCAGCGCTGCGTGCAGGTCCGAGCCCCCCAGCTCCAGCAGGGGCTCCAGCCCCGGGACCCCCCTGGAGGCTCTGGAGCCCTCCGGGGGGGCCGCGGCCTCTTTGGGTCCCAGCGCTCGCCGCCTCCGCCTCAGATCCACCTCCCCCTGGTCCCGGGCCTTCTCCTGGGAGCCCTGGAGGCCAGGCGGGGCTCCCGCCGCCCCGTTTACCACCTTCCCTCTGGGGGGAGCCTCGTCGGCCGCGTTCTCTTTGAGATCTCGTCCTCCTTTCTTCAAAGGCTCGCCCTCCCCCCCCCTGGCGGCGGCGGCGGCGGCTCGCTGCAGCTGGGCCAGCCTCTCCTGGGTCTCCTCCGTCCGCTGCTCCTTTTTGGCCCTCTCGTCTATTTCGCTGTCCGCCCTCTGCAGCTCCTGCTGGAACCGGTCCTGCTCCGCCTTGTCCGGCTTCTGCTCTCTGGCCAGCTGCTCCCTCCTCTCCCTTTCCAGCCGCTCTTTCTCCACCCTGGCCAGAACCTCTCTCTCTATTCGTTCCTTCTCGGCCCTCTCCTTCTCCAGCTGCTGCTCTGCGGCCAGTTTCTCCTGCCTCTCCTTTTCCAGCCTCGCCTGGACTTCTTTCTCAATCCTCTCCTTCTCTAGCTGCTTTTCCCTCGCCATGGTGTCCTTTATAATCCTCTCGACCTCTTCTTTGTCCAGTCCCGCCTCGACTTTTTTATCCGGCTTTTCTTTTGGGAGATCTTCGAAGGACTTCTTTTCTTGATCGAGGCTTTCGACGTCCCTGGGCTTTGCAGCCTGCTCGTTTTGAGGCGGGGGCTGATGGCCGTCTGCATTCGGCTTACCTAGCGGCACCCCCCTGGCCCCCAGCTGACTCTGCTGGTGGAGCTCCTCCGCAGGTGCAGCAGCGTCCTCCTTGTAAGCTGCCGGAGCAGCTACTTTACCAGCCCCGACCTGGGCTCCCGAATCCCCCGGGGGGGCCCCCTCCCCTCCGGCCGGTGCAGCTTTGGCTGCTCCAGCTTCGATCCCCTCGCGACCCGGGACACTTTTCTCCGCCTCGCCTTCGGCTCCTTTAAACGAGACATTTTGTCACATGTAAATGAACACATGTGTGAGTTGTACGCCCTGAACTCTCTGCTGTCTGTAAGTGTGTGCACACAGTAAGTCCAAGCACAAGGCTGTAAAACCTATACTTCCATGTACATGTTCCATCCTGACAGCTAGTTAGATTTCGGCTGTTAGATTCAGGCATTTTGCACAGTAAGAAAAGACGGATATATGACTGAGCGTCATGGCTGTGTGTCCCTTCTAAATAGCATTATTACTACAGGCAAAAACATGCTGCCAAACAGCTGAAATAATCAGACGCTGAGTTAAAAGACGTTGTTGACAGGAGCCCATTATCCTCCAGTGAGAGGTGCTGATTGTCTCTCATTTAGTTTCAACAAGCTGGGACCTTTTTTAGTTAAAAAAAACATCCACTCCTCAAACTCGGGTTGTGTTCACAAAGGCCGTCGTCTCAACTAAACAAAATGCTTCATCCCGGTATTTCACTATTTGTCTAACTAGCATAAGTCCCTCAGATGGCTGAAACGTGACCAGAAAGCAGGTTATGGTGACATCACTGCACCGAGAGGAGTCACTAAAGGGAGAAGGGGCCAAAGTGGTCTTTTTCTTGGCATTCGTCCTATACATTTTAAGATCTTAATGAGGGACACAGTAACTAATAACAGCTACTCATATGGCGTCTATACCCACCAGCAGGTTGCTTTTGGTGGATTTCCTTGTGTTGCTCTTCTATGACGGCCAGTAACTTTTCCTGTTGGTCCAGAAGCCTCTTCTGTTGCTCCTGTTGCTGCTTGATCACCTGCAGCAGCACCGCATGGTCCAGCTGGCCCTCTGCGAGTGGAGACAAAAACATCGAATTAAAGAATCCCAACTAAGTGTCGACCTTTGTCAAAGAGCAATGCAATGGTTAGGAAGCTTCTGGGTGGGAAGTCAAAGACATGAAACACACAGTACAGCGCTAAGTATGGAGCTAAATCGGAGCTGGACTAGTCAGTCGTGGGCATACAAACTATGTTAGGGGACAATGGGATAAGGGGGAGGGGGGTTAATGGACATCTAATATAAAGAAATTTACAGAAAAAGGCTGCCTGCTGTGTTGGTCTGAAGGACAGATTGTGATAGAGAAGAAGAGGCAAGAGAGAATTCATACCTGCGACCAGCTTTTTTATCACTGTGATTCGAGTCCGGCAAAGACAAAGAAAAAAAAAACGAACAAACAAAAACAAAGGGGGAAAAAGATGGAGAAGAGAAGAAAGGGGAAAAAGTAAACAACAAAATATGGAAGTCAACAAGCCAAACAAGATTGCGTAGAGTGTGGAGCGTGTTCCGGGTGTCACGCCTTCGCAGACAGGCCACAGCGAGGAAGAGCAGAGGACCGAGGTGAGATGGCTCAGATCAGATCCAAACCAGCAGGGGGGGGGCAGGTGACAGAAGGGGGAGTGACCTTAAGAGCTTTCAGTAAACCAGAATTTGAGGGAGATTGTTCCAATTTGTTCAAATGCCAAGCCATTCCCTAATCCGGTTTGATGTTTGAATTCAAATTCCTGCTGTACAGTGTGCCCAAAGGAGGTAAGAGCAGGGGCATCTCTCCCCCACTACGACCTGCTAGACAGATAACGTGCTTGAGGTTGTGCTGGTGCACATTTGAACATTTTTAAAATAAAGAGCAGCTTGTTTTGGGCAAAATTTGCATCAACCGAATTCATTCTGTTATGATTTTAAACCCCCAGTAAAAACATCTATTCTGCCGCTGCGTTTTCCAGCTTTTGGCCTTTATCAGAGTCCAGATAAAAACATCCAGCATTTAAATACGGCAGTTACGGAGCCGGAAAAACAACCGTGGCGGCTTAAGACTGTCGCGACTCTACCTTCAATTAAAGGCGTCGGTATCCGCTTACCGTCCATCTTCTCGTCTGCTGGATCTTTGCCGTCTGCAGCCGGAGCCTCGTCCGCTGCCGGATGACGCTCTTCTTCCGGAGCTGGAGCTGGAAAACCAGAACAAAAGGCGTAACCGGTTCAGGTTGGCACCTTTCTTTTGGTGGCATCGATCTCATAGCGGTCTCAGAGTCTCACCTTTTCCTGCAGCATCTGGTGCTTTATCCGCGGGCACTCCTGCACCCTGATTGGCCGCTGCCGCGGCCTCGTTCCCTGCCAGAGGATCCTTAGTGGGTTGGAGATTCTCCGCGTCCTTTTGAGGAAGGTCCTCCGGCTTTTTGCCCGGCTGGGCAGCAGGCTTCTCCAGCACCAGGTTGGACAAGCCCTGGCCGCCCTGCTCCGCCTCCTTCTTCTTCCCCGCCGCGTTTTCGGCAGCTTTCTCGGCGGCCCTGTCCTCTAACCTCTGATCTTGCTCCATGTCTTTCTTGACTTCTCCCTGGACGTCCTCTGCGGGAGGGACTTGCCGGTTCTCGTCCTCCGCCAGCTCTGCGTCGTTCTTCCTGGAGTCCACCCGCACCCTGTCTTGGGGATTGGGCGGCTCGTGGCGATGGGCCTCTCCCTCCGGCACGGCGACGCCTTTGTGTGCAGATGGCGTTTATTCCACCCAGCTCAGGGTACGGATGATTCAATTTTTTTTTTTTAGGGGGTGGGGGTTTCTTACCGGCTCCGGGACGGTCCAGCTGCACAACTTCCTCCTTCTTCCTCTCTGGTGCTTCGACCGGTCCTTTGATCTGGGGCGGCTCGGGGTTGTCCTTGGGCGCGGGCTGCACCACCTCCACCGGCGGCAGGTCCGGCTCTTTGACCTCCTCCGGCCTCTTCACCGCGGGATTGTCTGTGTGTTAGAAGAAACAAAAGGTATCACAGAAAGGAGCACTGTCACTGCATGCTAGACGCTCTCCTGTGACAAGACGTTTGCTTTTCGCTAAACTGTGCTCATCAAAAGATCCACTAGATGGCAGCGTACGCCGCGCATGGGACGGCCCGTGTGGCTGCCATGTAAGGGAAGGAAAGGAGGATTAAGTCTGAGACTGACGAACAGGAAACAGATGCAGATGCTGGCCCATGTGGGCTTCATTTGGAGCAACAGAGGTAGGGAGAAAAAAAAAAAAAGAAAAACAGAGGAACGCACGCTGGAGGCATGCTCCTCCGACGTCGACGTGCGGGCTCAAACAAAAGGAGCTACAACGCGAGAAGAGAGAGGAAAGAATGAGGAACTGTGGGGTTTCCTTCAGAAGGCTTCCTCACAAGTCTGGGTCCACGTGCGTTTCATCTTTCGGCCCCTGCTCCTTTACGCGGCCTGCAGACGTTTTATAGCTGCCACAGGAGACGCGGGCTAGAGGGAGGTGAAGACAATGCATTTTGAGGGGGGGGGGGGGGGGGGGAGGGGGGGGGTGGTGGTAGCAGCAGAAATGAACAGAGACAGACAGGAGGGGAGAAACTGCTGGAGTTTGAAGGGCATCAATCTCGCTTCATCAATGTCAAGCGCGTAGTGCTGCTCTCAGATATTATCAAGAGGTTATCTCCTCGCCCCTGCCTGTCTGTCTTTCGCTCGCTCCGCTCGGCTCCATCTTTTCTTCTCACAGAGATAACAGGAAGGCTTTTTCTTTGTGCGCGGCGGCTTTGTGTCTTTGTTTTTAGTCTCGCTGGCCCTTGTGCTTGGGGTTGGGCGTTCTCGCGGCGCTGCTCGTTTAGGGCGCCGCCGCAGTCGGCGACTTTGAAAACAAGACGAGACGCTGAGAAAAAAACGGCTCCTCTCGCACCGCCCGGCGCGTTTTACATGAAATGATTACATGCAGCGCCGCGGCCCGGTCGCACACGCGCCCGCGGACGACCCTGACTGAGGTAGATGTTTTCTATGGCTCATTAGCGAGGCGCTTTCATTTACAGGCTAAGTGTCTGCCGGCCATTAGAGAGAGTCATGAGCTTTACCGTGCGGCTCGGGGGGGTCCGGAAGCAGCAGGCTGCTCCTGCCAGGTGCCGGAGGGGGAGCTCGGACCTTGTAACTGGGGCTGCTGGCCGTAATGGAGAGGGTGGTGAAGGTGCTGATCAGCAGGATTCCGAGGCCAACGCAAAGCACCAACTGCAGGGAGGATTCACGCCAAGGTCAGAGAGGATGATTACACACAATTGTACACACACACACAAAAAAAACAAAACAGAAACAAATGAGGGGCACTGAGGGTCACGAGGCACCTGAGATAAGAAGCCATTCTTCTGGATCCTTCTATAGATGAGTGCTGGACATATGAAGCATATGAGGCTGCCCATGGTGGCTCCAGTCAGACCCAGAATGGTTTCAACTGGAGACAAAACACAGCATTAAGTCAAGTCAAGTCAAGTCAAACTTTATTTATAAAGCACATTTAAAATAACCAAGGTTGCCAAAGTGCTGGAGCAATGGTTCCAAACATGAGGTCTTTTCAACCTGGTGGGCAGCTTTGTGTCTGTTGTTAAAATTGTAACCTAGCATTGGAGGACCAGCAGCACAAATCGGTTTAGGTTCCAAGCTTGGAATTCTCAGTTACCGGTTCTGAATAAACACAATACGTTAAGAGTATAAAAAAAAAGACTGCATGTGTAAACATCAATCTGCATTCCATCTGCCAGAGCAAAGAAACTCTTGATTTCCATTCCGCCTTTGAAAAGCATCCTCTCCAGGTCTAAGCTCTTTTTCTTTTTTTTTCCTAGTTTCATCCAAACCGGCCAGCCAGCTTGTGCCATTCACAGCTGGCACCGTCCGCAACACGCCACGTCTGGCACTGGGCTGAGAGTCCTGGCCCCACCCACGCCTCTGTGGACCGGCCTGCCAGGCGCCGAGCCCGGAAAGCCATCGTTCAACCAGAGGACGGACACCATATTGTTTCCCTCAGATTTAGTGTCCATTCTCCCAGGGGTGCACACTTCCTTTCTCCTCAGTCTATTAGTCTGATTAGACACACAAAGACCTAACTAACCCACTGTGTGTGTGAGTGTGTGTGTGTGGGTGAGTGTGTGCATCTTCCCAAGCAAACATTCAAAAGTTTATCAAACAGCAACCAAATGAGACATTGAATAAAACATAAAACAAGGCTAACCTTTCCAATTGCGCCACTTAAAATATGTTTGGAAGAGGGACGCCAACTCATAGAGCCCGACAGAGTCAGATTTGGGTGCGCATGCACTTGCGTTTGTGTGTGTTTGTGCGTGAAAGAGAGTGTGTCTGGAAGAATAATAGCCCTATCTACCTGTCAGCCCATCTAAAAGGAGATAAAAGTTAGAGGCCTGATTTAAGGACTGTGTTAGAGTGTGACAGTCACTGACTCGTAAAGTCACATTCACACACGTCGTAAAGCTCCCCGGCAACCCCGCCCACATAAAGGAACACGTGCACCTTAAAGGCCTCCAGTGAGCTGCGCACGCACATACACACACGCACACACGCAATCTGAGTTCTTTCGGTCACGGGCCGTACCATTGGGGATGAGAATGCCTCCCAGCATGGTGCCAAAAACGATGCCGAGGGTGATCATCTTGAAGCGGAGAGGAGGCATGTAGCCCCCGGCAGCAAAGGTTCCATCCTTCTGCTGTAAAGAAGGAATACATTAAAAAAAAAAAAGGTTGGAAATGTGATGGCTGGGGGGGGGTATAGGATCACATGAAAAAAAAAAAACATCAGCACCGACTTGAGCCGATCTCTTGATTCTACATCAATCCATCCATGTTCTGTGCTGCTTATTCCCAACGGGGGCCGCAGGGGGCCGGAGGCCATCCCAGCTGATAACAGGCGGGATCGAGTGTTGGTTGGACTCGTACAATAATTAATTGTTTCCAAGTCGAGAAAGACAACTGTATTGATTCGGTTTGGTCAGTGACCTTGACTTGACGGAGGGTCTGGGGGATGGAAAAACATAACCGCGATCTCGACAGGAAATTTGTAGAATCAGGCAAGTAAATTTAAGCGTAATCAGTCCTGACAACACTTCATCGGCTATGTGACCTTACCATGTGACAGTACGCCGTGTATACAGGGCATATTACTTTCCTCGCCCCCGATCCTACTATGAGTCATAAATATTAATCGTAATGGGGATCCGGTTCGGTTCGTACATGAGCATCATGACCAATTGCTATTAGATTAGTTCTTATATTTTCCTTGCTCTGCCTCTCTGTGTATATTCTAGGTCAGTTTAATGTTTGGATATGTCATTCTGTCCTCAACGAGAGAAGGACACCCAAGTAAACATGTCAAAGCAGCTTTTTTTTCCCACCAGAAAGGAATGTATTCTTTTAAAAAGCCAAAGGGTCTGTAAATGTCTCCGATGGAGACGTGTAAGCCGTCGTTTAGGCTCACCTGCTGCTCAAAAAGCATGGTGTTGATGGCCTGACGGCAGGGCAGGATCATCATGGGGAACCCGACGGCCACGGACATCATGAAGCCTACGCGGATCATTTCTGTCACCAGGTTGGACGGAAAGTTCATCAGCACGTTGCCCGCTATGTTCTCCGTGAAGCTGACGTAGCCAAAGAAGCCCACCTGGTTGGCAGAGAGGTACGAAAGGAACACAATTTGCTTATTTCAATGACAGAAGTCCATTTAAAAAAAAATCGGGAATTGTCAGGGCGGGGGAAAAAAAAAAGGCGCGGGTTGGAGTGTGGAAGTGCGACTCCACTCACAGTGATGTAGAAGATAGTGACCACGTTGAGGGCCGAGGTGAAGATGGTGCTCATGCGTTTGACAGACGGCTCGTCCAGGCTGTCGTAGGTCGGCAGCACCTGCCTGTGAGAGACAGGAGGCCCTGAAAAAACAACCTCGGTGTGCCGCGACACGCAAGCTGAAAACGGGGGCTGGGGGGGGAGGGGTTGGGGGTGGGAGGGGGGGGGCTGTTGTTTTCCATCGTGCACCGTCTGCATTATTATCACACACGGCTACAAAATCCTCCTTCAGAAGGACGGCCTTTACCGCCCCCGCTGTAGTGGAGGGGTCAGGGAGCGCGCTCCTGCAGATGTTGGGCAAATTGAGTTGTTCTTGTTCTGCGCCGGCAGCCGACTAAATGACAGGCTTCATGGCCACTTACTTCAAATATGGTATTGGAGGCAACTCTGCGGCGCTCTTTAATGAGCAGCCATATGTGGGCCCATTTGTGCTGCTCGGTCATCAAATGATGCATCTCTTTTTCTTTGCTTTTCTTTTTTTTTTTTTTTTTTTACGTCTCCTCGTCGCCGACAAAACACACCAGCGATTTGTTTCTTCTTCATTTACCCCATGACTATTCTAGCACCATCATGCAGACGTTAAAAAAACATTTCCAATAGCAATTTCTATTGTGGACCTGATAGTTTTTCAGTGACTAGAATGGTACTAAAA